ATTGCTTAGGAATTACTTAAGGGAAAGAAGGGAGGAAGAGAAGGGAGGTTGGGAAGGACAAAGGGAGAAAGGAAAAGTTAAAGAGAATTATAAGATTCCCCTCAAGTCCAAACCTGGAGCGAGGGGGCAATGAAGAGATCTGGTTGCTCTAGGATCTCTTCAGGGATGGAGAAGAATTATAGACCAGGGTTTGAAACAGGATCTCAGTAGGTAAACACGTGACATGGGCCTGGAAATGCATTAGAAGGAAGTGGTGACTTAGCAGTATGAAACACACTCGTCCAGTTTAAAGAAGGCCGATCTTTTCCACTTAGCCCATTAGACAACAGATATGCTGGCTCAATGTTGCAGATAGTTCCTTCCTTCCTCCCTCCCTCCATCCCTCTCTTCCTTCCTTCCTTTCTCCCTTCCCTCCCTTCCTCCCCTCCCTTCCTCCCCACTTCCTTCCTTCCTTACTGAAAATCTGCATTTCTACGTGAAACCTCCCTTTCTTTAAGAGTTGACAGCTACTTGTTTTTATTTTATTTTTTAAAACACTAGATGGACCAAACAAAATACGTCTGCAAGCTTGTAGTGACCAGCAGGCTGTAAGACTGTGGTCTCGGCTGTAAAGAAACAAAAGGGCAGGAGGTAGCCAGACTGAGAAGGACCAACTGCTACGAGAGAGAAGAACAAAGAGAAGGAGAAATCAAGAAGATTGTTGCTTGATTTTCCTCCCATCTTGTAACTTACAACCCAAAAGCTTGCTGGTATCACCACCAGAAGGTGGACTTGGGTGGGGCTGGGAGATCTTTGGAAGCTTGTGGGTGAAGAACAGCCAGTGGCCCATTCTGGCAACTGTTGACTTTGTACCCTCTGTTCTTGGGGGAGAAAAAGTGTTGTCAAAACAGAAAGAAATTTTATCCCAGCAGCCCTTGGTAGGACATGAGATCTATTCTTTGTTAAAGAACGCCTCTGATCGCTGATAGCCTTTTTTTTTTTCCTTCTTTTCCCTTTTGACTGTGGGACAGAAGGGATTGAGCACAAACCGGCAGTGAATGATATCCCTCCCAACTTTGGGTGATTATGTTCGTTAATAATGATTATCGCTTCTATGTAATATTTGCATGATAAACTATAGACATCTGGTGGAGTGTGCATGTGCGCGTAGTGTTTGTTAGAAAACAGAAGCAAGTTAAATGCTGATGAAATGTGAAATCTAACCGTTCAGACTAAAAATAAAGTCGGCAGGCTTTAGGATTTCTGCATGCCAGCGATTCTGAACTGCTTACATACACCGTCTTAGTTACCGTGGAAACACTTGGCTGTGCATATACAGACACAGAGTACACAGTTTGTGGGCCTGGCCCCTGGGGGTCCCATTACAGAATTTTGTATGTTTAGAGATATTTTGTAATAAGGCCCCTTGTGTCACTTATTAGTGATAAAATGTACAACTGCCTTCATCAGCATCAATCTCAAATTTGTTTCTTATTGAAATGAACCAGCACGCTTTCAGGTAAGACAGAGAGTGTGTATATATAGATGTATATGATTTTATGTTCCCTAAAGTGTTGGGTTATAGTTTAACTGTCTTTTATTTTTTTCCTCCGGAAATTCTCTTTCTTTTTCTTTATCCTGCAGAATCGACTGAAATTTCTAGGTGATAGACAAACATGTATTTCTCAAGGCCAAGCTCAGAGGCAGAGATACATTGAGGGGAGCATGAAGCCTGGGGTTTGCAGGGTGTTTTCTCTTAAAGTGCAGATTTTAGATAATGGCCGATTTTCAGCATCACTGACATCATGAATTCCAGGAGTCCTGGATGGGAAAGCCTTTATCCAGTTGTCAATGCTGTGTTGTTTCGGCACCATTTGAGTAACATTCACTTAAAGGGTCTAAAAGTAAAGAGATGACTCTGATTTTTTTTTTTTTCATTACCTGCTCTGTGTTGCCAGGACCGAATGACTCCCGTTGATATTTACTTTCTTGGTTCTTTTCCAAAGTGTTAATCTAAATGTCTTCGGTAGCAGAGAATGGAAGGCTCTCCTCTGTTAATGGTTTTCTGCCTGTTTCAGGAAGGCTTGCAGTTTAACACTCCCTGGTGGATTCTACAGAGTTAGAGGAAGGACGTGCATTGCAGAAACTCCAGATAGCCTGGCGCTTTCTATGCAAGTCCAGCCACTAGCTACAGACGCCCTGGGCCACACTGACTGGTCTGAGTTTGAGCTGTTCTTGTAAATTGAAACTGATGCCCGGTGGAGCTAGGAGATCTTTGCTTCTGTAGTTCATCACAGCTGGGGTGGAATACTGACTCTGCCATTCTTTCATCATGACCTTGAGTAATTCTCTTAATTGTTTTGAGTCTTTTCCTCATGTCAAAAGCTGAGGGACTAATCCCTTCTCCACCAGAACTTTAAAAACATTAAAGGGTATGAAGTTATATAAAGTTTCCAAAACACAGTCAATAAAATTTTAAAAAATACTAATAGTAACAATTAACAGTTAAGTTGATGACTTCGTACTGTATTGAGCAATTAATACATATTTTATTTTTGTAGCCTCACTATAATGCTTTAAAGTGAGGAATGATAATAATAATAATAGTGATATTTTTGTCTTACAGTTAAAAGAAAACTAGAGGCTTAGAGAAGTAAATACATGGTCTAAAGTTTACAAAATCAGTTGATGCAGTGTTCAAACCCAGGGCTGACTAAATTATGGGCATTTTCTACACAAGTAAGTGCGTGCTAAGCACTGTTGTTAATAATAAGAAAAATGGAAATAATTGGAAAATTTACCGCTGCAATTTTTGAGGTGGGAGGAAGGATGGGATTGGGGCATTAAAAACAGCTGAACTCCCGGGAGATTCCATATTGATGGAATGTTTACCAGGGAAATGATTCCATTTACAATCCAAGCAGTGAAAAAAAGGTAGATTTCCAGTTTGGAAATTTTATATTAGAATTTAGAACTAAACACATCAAATGGTTAAATACATTGGTGTGGCTAGCTCTTGTCATGATGTATCAATGGTGGGATTGGGATGGGCTTTCTGGGATGCAGGAGCTGAACCTCTCTCTCTCCCTGGCATTGGGGCAAAGGTTAAGAAGAGCCATCCATGCGTGAGCTCTCTGCTCCAAAGTGAGATTGGCAATGGTGGGAGCTGACACATCTAGTGCCATAGTTGCTTATTTGTTCAAAAGAAATTCCATTTACATTATAAATGAAGGTTGTTTTACAATAATCCCATTTACATTGTAGATTTGTATTGTTGATGTCAGAAAATCAAGCCAATATAGCAAGAGTCTTGTCCTTCGTCGATAGCTTCATTGAACTGCACTGTCCTAAGTGCTAGGGATAGCAGTATGGAGACAAGATTCCTGCCCTCTGGGGTAGCACTGTGCAATAGAACTTTCTGTGATGATGAACATGTTTTATATTTGTGTTAAACATTACAGCTATTGAGCTTCTGACATGTGGCTGCTGTAACTGATGCACCAAATGTTTGATTTAATTCAATTCCTTAAATTATAAATTTAACTAGACACATATGGATAGTGGCTACCAGGCTGGGCAGTGCAGATCTAGAGGATGAGATGTGGGATAAGGTGAACCAGTGACTGTGAAGAAGGCTATAACTTTAAGACTTACAGGAGGTGCTGGAGTCTGCAGCATCCCCTACTGCAAGTGGCGTAACTTCTGGAAGGTTAAGTATTTTATCTGAGCCTAGACCATGCATCTGTAAAATGGGGACAATTATAAAATTATTTCAAGATTGTTGTCAGTATGAGCTATTCTACACAAGTCTCTTAATAGAGCTTAAAACGGGGTGGAGAAAATACTAGTAGTTATTATTATTAATAGTGTTGTTATTATTATCATTATTTTGTAACCAAAGGATGCACAGGTTGCTACAAGGGTCATTGAGAGATTAACTCTGCTGTGATTGAGGCAGACATAGAAGGAAATATTGAAACCTAATTCATAGAAGGGATGATATTTGAGCTTCATTGTCTACTAGTGTGAATCACTCAACAAGGCGACAGAGGGTGACTCAGGCAGAGCCTGTGCTTGGCTAAAGCACTATGATTTGAAGGAGTCAGGTTTGTTTGGGGAACTGGGGAACCACAAGTAATGAGTCTATAGGGTCCTGGTGTCTCGCAACCACAGTGGATGTTTGGAAGCATCTCGTAGATTTCAGTGATCCATCATATTCATTTGTAGGAGGAAGTGAGATCAAATTTTCATATCAAAAAATAAATCCAGCTGCTGTGGGGGACTGAATTAAGGTAGAAAGAGACTGAAGGCAGAGAGATCAATTAGAAGGAGGACTTGCGCAAGATGACTGATTTGTTTTATGCGACCCCCAGAGCAGGAGCCAGAGAAAAGGCAAGTAGGCAAGGTAAAAAGAAACTTTATTAACTAGCCAGTATGAAGGAAGAAAAGGCGAGGTTCAACGGCCTCCCGTGGCGGGGGCCGGGGAAGTCGCCCCGGCGTTCTCGTGCGAGGTTCCTAGGTCCGCATATGAGGAGGGGCCGAGGGGCCGGGCGCGGTGGCTCACGCCTGTAATCCCAGCACTTTGGGAGGCCGAGGCGGGCGGATCACAAGGTCAGGAGATCGAGACCACGGTGAAACCCCATCTCTAAAAAAAATACAAAACATTAGCCGGGCGCGGCGCCTGTAGTCCCAGCTACTCAGGAGGCTGAGGCAGGAGAATGGCGTGAACCCGGGAGGCGGAGCTTGCAGTGAGCCGAGATCGCGCCACTGCACTCCAGCCTGGGCGACAGAGCAAGACTCCCTCTCAAAAAAAAAAAAAAAGGAGGGCCCGAGGAAGTTCGCGCCCTGCAACGGCCCGGAGCGGCTTTTGTGTCTAGGGCCTGGGAGTGGGAGGGCAGTAGGCGGGACATGGGCGGGTCGGGGGCGTGCGGTAGGCTCGGCCAGGTTGGTTTCTGTTTCCTCGGTCGGACGTCATGTTGCGCCTGCGCAGTTGACCTGTGCTTTTTCCCGGGCGCGGGAAAGTTGGTGATGAAGAACCCGGAAATATGCCATCTTAGTCATCTTTGTTCTTTGTTCCGCTACCCCTCCGTCCAGACAATGACAAGACATTTAATAAGGTCAGCAGCCATGGTGATGGGGAAGGCGTTTATTTGAGAGGCAGGTAAGAGGAAAAATTGACAGAGATTTTACAGAAAGAAAAGTTGAGACTTTATACTCAAAAGCTAGATTTAGGTCAATAAAAACAACAATGATGATAATATTGATTCATACATTTATCATGCTTTTCAGTTTATCTGAAGGAGTGTTTATCTCCTTCAACCTTCCCGGTAACCCAATGGGTACATCAAAGATTAAAATTGTTAATGTGTATGATGTGCTTAGTCCTGGCTGTGTATGCTACTGAGTACTCAGTCAGTGACGGTCATAGTTGAGGTTATTGTTGGCCTTAATCAAGATTCTCGTTGTTGACAATGTTCTTTTGTTAAGAAAAGTGGATTTTATCCGCTTGAAGAGGTTCAGTCCAGAGAGAAGCCTCGAGAGACCTTAGCACAAAAGAAAAGAATGAGGTACTAGAAAACCCTCAGAGACAGCCTCTCGTCTCCGGGGTGAGATACTAATAGAAACAACGGCTATCGGGTGCTTCCCAGGGCTGCCCCACCTGACAGAGACTCTGGTGTCCATTCATGAAAAATCTCTGATTATGAAACTGATCATCCGCTTTGCCCCGTGTGTGCTTTCTTTCCAGGTTGTTGACTGTATCTTTACTTGGACTTATCCTTCATGTACACGGTGTAGTGAAAGGAACTCTGGCTACAGATTAAGCAGCAGTGGACTTGCATATTATTTCAAGTACTTCTTTTTTATTGGTACAAATTTCAGGGGTACAGTGCAGTTTTGTTACATGGATGTGTTGTGTAGTGGTCAACTCTGGGTATTTATTTATTTTATTATTATTATTATTATTGAGACAGTCTTACTCTATTGCCCAGGCTGGAGTACAGTGGTGCAATCTCAGTTCACTGCAACCTCTGCCTTCTGGGTTCAAGTGATTCTCCTGCCTCAGCCTCCCAAGTAACTGGGACTACAGGCATGCACCACCATGCTTGGGTAATTTTTGTATTCTTAGTAGAGTTGGGGTTTTACCATGTTGCCCAGGCTGGTCTTGAACTCCTGACCTCAGGTGATCCTCCCACCTCGACGTCCCAAAGTGTTGGGATTACAGGTGTGAGCCACCGTGCCTGGCCAACTCTGGGCTTTTTGTGTAACCATCACCCAAATAGTGTACATTGTACTCATTAAGTCATTCCTCACCTCATTTCTTTTTAAAAAAAAAAAATGTTTTTGGCTTACTGTTTAATTCAGAAAGTGGGTAAAAAGTAACAAAACTTTCTGGTTTCTCCTTGTTTCTCACCTGTCAAAATCAGGATAGTATCTACCTCATAGCATTTGTTTCATGCTGGTGGTATCCTCATATATTTTCTATGCAGGGGGGAGTTGAAAGATGTAGATTTATCTTTTTTCTGCCTTTTTTTTCTAGTATTTCTGTGGCTTGTGTGACCTTAAGACTTTGACCAGTAAATCTGAGAGGAATCTGGAGAATTCCAAATGGCAATAATCAAATTTAAACCAGCTTTCAGGGCAGCTTGCCTTAAAATCTTATTAGCCAGGGATGGCTAAAAAGAGGCTTGACAAACACTTCTAGCCTCAGAGCTGAAATGTGTTTCTCAGGATCAGTCCATGGGTGCTGACTCTTTGCACCCATTTCTCTAGGATGGGCAACGCTGACTCCTTTTTCCTCTGATGTTGTTCACTGTTCTGGACCAGAATAAATTCAACCATCACACCAGCACTGGCAAATATGCTGTAGTGGGCAGTTGGTGCCAATGTTGGTAATTTTTTTTTTTTTTTCCAGATTTCAGAAGCTTTAGATTTAAAGGTGACGAGGTCTCAATAGCAGGAAGGGGCTTGCAACACTGCCTTAAAATCTTTGGTTTCTCTTGGGACAGGTTTCTCTCCTTTCCCACCATGATAGCACCTAGCCATATATCATCTCTTCTGTTCTGATAACTCATTTATCAGGCAACATAAGAATGTGAATTGCTCTATGACAATTTAATTTCTAAATAACTTAAGTTTGAGCTCTTTATATACTCAAGTGATTTGTTCTTACTTTACCTTTTATTTTTCATAGAAGCATTTTAAATAAACATCTCACTTTCCCTTCTGCTCTCTAAAGAAAAATTTATCCAACACAATATACCTTTTCTCTAAGGATTCAAGGTCAAATGTCAAACAGGTTCTTTGGGCGAGGGTAACATAAAAAGAGGATGCTCTGGGGTTGACTCAGGTGGGAAGGCAGGTTTGTCTTAGCACTAAATGCCCCCAGAAATCCTCAGCTTTTGAAACTACTCTGTCTGCTTTTTGTGTGATTTTTAAGACTTGCTCTTTTTCCTCACTGTAAGTCTGGCATCCGATTTTACTTCTAATTATCATCAACTTCCAGAAAACTCCTTTTCTTCTCGCAATTTGTGGCTTTTAATCTACTTCCCTCTGTGAAGCTAGATTATGAAAGTTTATTATACTGGTTACCCAGGCAAAAGAAAACAGGCTTGGAGAAAAAGTACCGGGGGGGCAATCCCCTAGGTCAAAGTGCTTGAATTCGAGAGGCTCTATTTTGTGAAATATTCTCCAGCCACCCAGAAACCTGACTGCGTCTTGTTCATTGTTGCTCTGGTTTCAGTGATGGTGTCCTCTTTCAAATTCATGTTGAAACATATTCACTAATGCAGTAGTATTATGAGATGTTGCTTGTGGGAGGTGTTAAGTCATGTGAGTTCTGCCCTCATAAATAAGATGAGCACTCTTATAAAAGGGCTCAAGACTGAGAGGAGCAGATTCTTGCCCTTCTGCCTTTCACCATGTGAGAACACAGAAGCAAGGCAGCATCTTGGAAGCAGAGAGCAGCTCTCCACAGATACCAATGCCAATGCCTTGATCTTGGACTTCCCAGTTCCCAGCACTGTAAGAAATTAATTTTTGTTCTTTATAAATTACCCAGTCCAAGATATTTTGTTATAGCAGCACACACAGAACAAGCCAGTTGTGAAGACTGATAACTGGTGATTCATTGTTGACAGTGGCCACAAATGGGCAGATAAAAAAGCATCACCAGCATTTTGATATGTGTAGCATTTGTTTGCTTTGTTTTGTTTATTTATATTTATTCTGATATCAAGACTCTGACTCATAAAGCATAAGAGAGGTAGGAGAGGAAATTCTATCTCAGTGGAGAAATATACGTGAAGGCATATGATACAGAGACTGTGTTATCTACTGGAAGAATAAAATTAGTTAAGGTAGGATTTCGTAGATAGTGCAAAAGCCATCTTCACACTGTTTTGAAAGGCATTGGAATGGGCTTCCGGCCAATAATCTCCCTGATACCCAGGTAAAAATGAATCTGAAATCTCATTAAAGATGTATCTTCTCCCAAGGGCTCTTACCAGGAGGGTAAACTCTTCAAACTCACATTGGGACTCTTGCTTTACCTTTTCTTCTGTTTTATGAGGATCCAGAATCATCAGAGTCATCATAATTTCTTCTATCATTCTTTATTGAAGTGAGTACTACTAATTCACATGAAGGAGTCAATGGTGGTCATTTTTTAACAGCAAGAAGCAATAGTTGAGTGGTTAGGCAAATATCAGAAGAAGTGGGAAAGGTCTAGAAAAAATAAACCAAGGAGAATAAAAAACAATTGTGCTATTTTTTGCAATTTTGGACAAAAGTAGACTCACAAAAGTGGTTTTACAAACATCTTCTTTGCCATTTCCTAGAATACTGGCCAGATTTAGGATCCCATGGAAGGAAAGTTACTGTGTCAAACCCTGTGTAAATCAACAAGAAAGGATTTACCTGTGGCTTGTCTAGGTTGCCTCTTGAATGAAGCCCTTGAAATTAACGTAGAAAAAGCTACTGCCTCCCATAATCACTATCTTTTCCTAGTTAATAAGTATTATTACCCTATCACTTATCCTTATAGAACTATTCCACAAAACCTCCTCCAGGAAAGAAACCTTATCTTCATTGTTTTCTGAATACTTTGCTGAAGATCTCCTGCTCTTTTCCCAAATTGTCGTCCAAAAGTCCTTATTCACCTGGCTCTCGAGTCTGCAGATCTTGTCTTCATGAAATTTTTATTATATCCAACGTCTGCCCAATCTCAGGGTTCTCAATAGATCATCTTTGCCTTTTTATTTATTTTTTTCATGTTTTGTTTTGTTTCTCCATTTCTTTTCTTTCTTTCTTTCTTTTAATTTCATAGGTTTTTGGAGGACAGGTGGTATTTGGTTACACAGTAAGTTCTTTAGTGGTGATATGTGAGATTTTGGTGCACCCATTATGTTGGATCATACGTAAGAGTAGGCCAAAAACTTTTGAAAATCTCAGTGCTAAAGGTTTGAAAATAAAGTTGCATGGAAGTTGATGTGATCTCAGTTGGGAAAGGATATAAGGGGTCGTGAGTTGTGTTGGGTTAGAAGTTGGGAAGTCCACTAATATGGCGCTATTTTCAAGTAGTCTTGGGCCTATGGTTTCCACTAAAGTGAAGGAATACTCTTACCGTTGATCATCTTGGAAAGCAATTATTCCTGGGACAGGGAATGAGAAGGATTAAGTGTAGGTGACAGTTTGGCATAAGTAAAATCTTTCCCCTCCATTTGGGACAGAATCAATGGTAAAGAGGCACCCATTATGTTTCAGTGTAGAGAGTGGTAAGCTGCCGAATAAAGAAGTCTCAGAGGCACAGCTTTGTACAGCACCAAAGGAGGGTTTCTGTCATTGTAAGATTTATTTGCAATATATTTGCTGTCTTAATCCCCAGCCTTCCATATATTTTCAAAGCTGCAGCCCAGACTCAGGTGTGCTTGAGGAATTAGGCAAGGGCCCTGTCCTCACTTGGGAGGTGGCCCGGTGTGGTAGCAACAATGAACTCTGAGAGCAGAGCCACGTGCAGTGACAATCTCAGGAGGTCAGCAGCAGTGTTGGCAGCAGTGTGGTGGCAGAGCAAGGAGGCCAGAACAGGAAACGCAAGCACCTGTTCCTCAGCACACTTGAGCTTGCATTCTGCAAAAGCCTTAGGCAGCGGTGGAGCATGCATCA